TTTATACTTTTAAACTTGTGATAAGTTAAAAAACTTTAAAAAAATCTCTTAAGTTTTATTTTACAAATTCAGATAATGTTATAATTTGTAGACTAATTTGTAGATACACCATAATATTATGTACATTAACTATCTACTCAAAAAGTATGTAGGTAATAAATTTTCATGTACAATAAATAACGTTTTAAGCGAAACACGAACACATAGAGACAAAATCTACCATATATGAATAGTAAAGCAAAGTAATTTTGACTACGCCAGTGAACCTTATGGGTCCCCTTAATCATCAATAGGTGCGAAACACTTGAAACCAACTGACCGGAGTTCCATTATGTTCTCGTTATCCTCTACACGTTCCACTCCAAATGGTGACCCAATTTTATGAAGTAAAAATTTTATCATTGTAGCCGAGGCTAATATTATTACGTAGTGGTGATTTTCTATAAATACCAGCCAAAAATCTTTGTTTTACGTTTTGATAACTTCGCTAAGAAATTTTTAAACTATCTGAAATAAGTAAAATAAAAGTATATTTTAGGAGGTAATGAACCGATTCTAATTTTTTTATCAAACAAAAGTTTGTAGCGTGATGTTTTTAGCTTTCGTTTTTTTTAACTTAAAGAAAATTAAAAATAAGTTAGTATTATATCGAATAGCACTAATAGTTATATTAGTATTACTAGCAGAACCCGCGGCTACGTCCGCGTTCTATCTACAAAAAAAAACTCTTTGGTTTTATGTTGTACAGCGACTCACCCTCGCTTTGCTTGGATTCGTCACTATGTATTTACGTAATATTGTTCATACAAAAATATTGTAAATAAAAAAATAATGAAATCGCGAGTAAAAAATGGAGGGTAGAAGGGTAAAAAATACTTTACGACCTATTCTTATACCTACCAAATATACAAAAAAAAAACATTCAAATCGGTCGAGCCGTTACGGAGGAGTGCGACTACAAACATCGTGACACGAGATATTTATATATTAGATAATATTATTTATCACACGGACGAAATTTATCACTTAAAATATATTTTGGAGTAATACAAAATTATTTCAAACCTGAATCTTACGTTTGATAATCTTGCTTCTAAGCCAGACTAAATTTCTGAACCACAATCAAATATTTATTCCGACCTGTTTAAAGATAAAACGCAATGTTGTGCCGGTGCTCGGTTCACAATACGTTGTCTTGACTTCGGCCAACTGCCTTTTAGATATATATGCCTTCTATTTTATAATAGAAGGTGTCTATTTTGATGTATTTTTATCTGTATGTTACAGAATATGTGCGCTAAATTGTAAACTATTTTTTTTTATTATTAATTGCCTACATGTTGAGGTTGATTTTATTATTAACGTTTATTTCTTTATTCGACTTACGGGTAAATAAAATTACGGATAAGAAAGATAAATTAATTGAAATATTTAACGTCCAAAAGTACTATTAATGAAATACTAGTGTACTGTGTAGTGTTATGCCATGTGTTCTATGATGAACAAACATAAAACAACTAGTATGCCACGAGAATATTTATAATATATGTATCTGATATATAATTATAGTTTCTCACCATAACATTTTGATAAGAAACGAAGGGTTTTGAATAATTTCTGTAATGAAGAAGCTACGAAAATACAGAATTAAATATGAAGTGTCTAGAATATAAAAAGCACGAAACAATTTGTATTGATGTTTGTAAAATATACAATCTTTTTCTTTATTTTTTATTTTATATGTGCATAATATACTTATTAAGAATCACTTTGATAAATAAATTTTGATATATATTAAACGTATTATGAAATATAAATATAAATAGCCACAGAACTCAAAAGTCCGTGATTTACAGATTGTATAAAATAACCAGTAGATCAAAGAAACAGACAATAACATGACAAACAAAAGTGTATAAATGCATTTTCGGTTGTTGTTATCAGACCTTCGTAGCAGATTGTGTGACAAAGTAGATTGTATCAACTTATATCCACTAACATCCAGCAAACAAAACGATAGGGCAAAGTTATATTTAAGAAATAACTATTTACCTTTAATATAAAATTAAGGGCTGTAATTATTACTTAACCCATCTTATATTCAACACAACCAACGAGTAATTAAACGCTTCGAATGACAACAAAATGTTACACTATCCGTTGAAAATTAAATTAGCACTTGAGACTTGTTTTACGTAAACACTCCAGTCGGAGACCTCAAACTGTCGAGTTGTTTGTTGAATCAACGGAATTTAATTTCCCTTAGCTATTGTCCCTAAGGTTATATTAGCCTTATAAAAGTTTTGGTATTCAGGAAATTTGTTTTTACAATGGAAGATAAATTATCATATAGATGTATTGAAGAGCATTTGCTGCGTTTGCGGATTGCGGGTTATTACCAAATTGATCCACAATCGCCAAGATTACGAAGACGTCTTCATGATATTTATATGAGAGTAACATTAATCTGGATTATAGTATATACTATACAACAAGCGATAAAGCTGTATGAGGTAATATAGCTTTGGATCTATTGTAATGGAAACTTTTTATACACCCGAAGGCATTATGTAATTCGTAGGAGCATTTATATTACATATTCTAAGCCTTTAAATTTCTATAAAATACTGAAAATTAACGTGTCTACTCAATTTTCTCTTACATTTACCTCATTTTTTATTAGACTCTTAAGTAATATCGAAATTTATATTTATAACTAGCGATTTACCCGCGCTTGGCTCGGGTTCATCCATAGGTAAGTTTTAACGGTTAGTATAGATATCTCACGGGAACCGTACATTTTTCCGGAATAAAAAGTGATCTATGTGCTATTTCAGACTATAATCTATCTCCGTGCCAAGATCTTTTCGTTCCAGATCCGTTCAGCTGTTCTGGCGTGATAGAGTAACAAACATCCATTCATCCAAACTTTCGCATTTATAATATTTACTAGTAACTCACCCTCGCTTCGCTTCGGGTTCGTCTCTTGACAAAAACAAATCTATCCTGCGGGAACCGTACATTTTTCTGGGATAAAATTATGTGCTATTTCAGACTATATTAGTCTCTCTTTGTGCCAACTTTCATCTAGATCCTTTCAGCCTTTCTAGCTTGAAAGAGTAACAAACATCCATCCATCCTCACAAACTTTCACATTTATAAAATTTGTATGGATTTGTGGGATTATGAAATATTATTCGGATTAAAAATTAGTTATTAAACAATAAAATATGAGTTAATGATATGATGATAATATGCGTCAAAAGTTCTTGCTATATTCTACCGCCGAATGACAAAAACGCTTGTTTCCTAGAGGCGATAAGACCACTTCTAAATATTTAATGCTACGCTGTAATGCTCTGCTAAGAATTTAATTCTTATGTATAAAACAGAGCTATTCCCTAGAGTTAAAATATTTGTATATGTACCTAACATAAACTTTATTTTGAAAAAAACTTTTTAAGCATTTTTTTTTTACATAAAACTCACAGTCTAATAGAATAAAAAATTCTCGTTACTATAATTAGATTTAGATATAGGTATAAGTTATTTATAATTATTGTATAAGTTAATTAAAATATCTTAATTGAATTATTATGAAATTCAGAAATAGAGTCTACTAACAAGGCCTTTAGAAATGCTTAATAAAGATAATTTAGGCTTGAGAAATTCCTATAGAAACTTTCATGCCCTTTTATCCTCCTTAAGGGATGATTTCCGCCATAAAAACTATATTATGTAACGAGTAAAGTGAAGTGAGGAGCGGGTGTTGGAGAGGAGGCGCTAGTGTAGCGGTGTGAAGTGTGAGGCGAGTAGAGGAGAGTAGATGGGGATTGCGTGGGGTATATAAATGTCTTGCTCGGGATTTAGATTGATTATTCTGCAGTGTTAAAGTGTTGTGAAATAATTACCAGTGTATAGATTTAAAAAGTTTATAAGTTATAATTGTAAAAAAATCTGTGATTAATAAAGTGATTTGTGAGAAACTATTTTTATTTTTCCTGACTGCTTCACAGTCAGAATTGGGATATAAAGCCCACATTATGAAGCGAAGACAGCCAGGACAGTATGTAAAATCAAAGAAGACCCGATTAAATGACGCGAATGAAAATAATATTTCTAGAGAGGATGTACAATCGATGATTGACACAAAGGTAAATTCATTTCTTAATGAGGGTAATCGTGAAAATGGCGTGATCAAATTAATGAATACTGATAAATTAATACCGGATTTTGATCCTGAAAATCGAGATATGAATGTAAAAAGCTGGATACGAAAAATTGATCAACTCGGTGACATTTACAAGTGGACTGAACTAACCAAATCTTTTAATTTGCAATCAAAATTACAAGGCCAGGCACGTATTTGGTATAATCGCTTGGATTCATACGATCATAGCTGGGAAGAGTGGAAATCCATGTTAACAAAGGCTTTTCCACGATATCATGACTATGCTACACTTCTTGATGAACTTACTTCTAGAAAGAAATCATCAAATGAAACTATGACAAAGTATTACCAGGAAAAGTTAGCTATGTGTTTTAGATGTCAACTAAGTGATCAAGCCGCTGTTTCATGTATTATACGAGGCTTGCCTCTCGAACTGCAGGCTAATGCACAAGCTTATCAATGTAGCAACCCAGATGCATTATATGAAGGGTTTTTGTCCGCATTTGATAATTATCAGCCTACAACGCCCGTTCGAGTAAGCAGTGCAAAGACACGAGTAGAACCTAGTGCTAGCAAGGAAACTCTGGTAAGAAAACCTCCCATATGTTATCGCTGTAATGAGACGGGGCACGTGGCTCCTAATTGTTCACTACCCGATAAGCGTAAATGTTTTAGATGTGGTAAGATTGGACACGTCGCTAGTTCGTGTCTATCCCAAACAAAGCAAATTCAAATCTTGTCAAATTTAAATGAAGTTTATAAAAAAACGGCAAAAGTAAATAACACCTATGTTAAAGCATATATAGATACGGGCAGCGAGTTAAATGTAATGGCGGACACTGCAGCACGTGCTCTAAAGTTAAAAGTCTTGCCTACCAACGTACAATTAAAAGGCTTTGGAGGTATCGCTACGCCGGCTGTAGGACACGTAGAGTTTGATTTATACGTGGATAAAGTCAAAATTCACACTACAGCCGTTACAACTAATACTGATTTAGGAGATATCGTGTTACTTATTGGTCAGCCAGTTATTAATGATAATACTGTGTCATTGACAGTAACGCGGACAGGCGCTGAACTTTGTACGACAGAATATGGTAACGACATAAATTCTATTAATACCATTGAAGAAGCGAGTTCTTTTAAAGTACAGGTAGACGCAAATATAGAAGTTCCAGTCGGAGACAGTTTGGTGAAGGTGTTTGTGGAGGGCGCGCCACCAGGCGAGCTTTGCACGAAACCACGCCAACACAGCATCGGTGCAGAGCATTATGCAGTAGCCAGTACATTACTCAGAGGGGGCGTCGGATATCTACGTGTCTGCAACATTGGAGAGGTCCCTTTGAGATGGAAAAAGGGGGAAACTGTGACAAGGGCAGAGCTCTGTAACGTCTGTGGTGAGGTGAGTGCGAATTTATTATTTATGAGGGGAGATGAGATTACTGAGCGTTCTTCAATTCATATTGGAGGAGTGCCTTTGGACCAGATAAATGTTGGGAATATAAGTAAAACTGAAAAGACTAGGTTAATTGAATTATTAGACTCCCATTCGGATTGTTTTGCTTCTTCCCCACATGAGTTAGGCTGTACTAATTTAGGTGAAATGCACATTAAAACAACTACTGATAAACCTATTAATAGAAAGCCATATCGACTAGCTCATTCAGAAAGAAAGATAGTAGCTGATAAAATAGAGGAAATGTTAGAAAGCAACATAATTAGGGAATCAACTTCAGAATACGCTTCTCCAATATTATTAGTACGAAAAAAAAATGGTGATTTTAGATTATGCATAGACTACAGAGCACTTAATGCTATTACAGTTAAAGAGAGATTTCCACTGCCTCATATCGAGGACCAGCTTTCTAAATTGGCGAGGAAAACTGTTTTTACTAGTTTAGATTTATATGCAGGCTATCATAATATTAAAGTACATTCTGATTCCATAGATAAAACTGCGTTTATAACACCAGACGGGCATTACGAATATTTAAGAGTACCGTTTGGTCTGGCTAATGCTCCGTCTGTCTTTATGCGGGTAATTCAAAAATTAGTAAAATTAGTAGGTAGTGACGAATTAGTTGCATTTATGGATGACATTTTGCTATCTACCGCGAGTGTTAACGAAGGATTATGTTTGTTAGAAAATGTTCTTAGTAAGTTACGAAAAGTAAATTTAAAACTTAACATGAAAAAGTGTTCTTTTTTAAAATCTGAAATAACGTTTTTAGGCCATGAAATAAGTTCTGAAGGTATAAAACCAGGAAATCATAAAGTTGAAGCAGTGGCTAACTTTAAAACACCATGTAGTTTGCATGAGTTACGACAATTTTTAGGACTATGTAGTTATTTTCGTAAATTCGTTGCCCAATTTGCTACAATAGCTAAGCCTTTAACGAACTTAACAAAAAAAAATTGTGAATGGGTTTGGGGCGAAGAACAAGTTAAGAGTTTTAATACACTTAAAAATAAACTCTGTTCACAACCGGTACTTGCGTTGTTTGATCCTTCACAAGCTTGTGAAATTCATACAGATGCGAGCAAGCAGGGATTAGCTGGTATCTTAATGCAAACTCAGCGTAACGGACAATTAAAGCCCGTGTTTTATTTCAGCAGAGTAACTAGTCGTGAAGAATCGTTTTATCATAGCTATGAATTAGAAACCCTGGCAGTTGTTGAGTCTTTAAAGCGGTTCAGAATATATATATTAGGTAAAACTACTAAAATAGTGACAGACTGCTCAGCTGTTCGTTATACTTTAGAAAAGAAGGATTTAATTCCTCGGATAGCTCGATGGTGGTTATCAATACAAGAATATGATATTCAAATTGAACATCGTCCTGGGGATAGAATGAAGCACGTAGACGCTTTAAGTCGTAACCCAAACTTATTATCTAGTAGTCTTTGTGAAACTCAAAATACTACTAATTCTTTAAGCCAAAATGTTATTGTTAATATCAATAGTATCTCTAATGACGATTGGTTTTTAACAGTTCAAATACAAGATCCAAGACTTAAAAATATTATAGACCAATTGACCAGTGAAAATGCTTGTAGTGATGTGAAAAATAATTATATAATAAAAAACAATAGGTTATATAGAAAAACTCTCAAAGGCGAGAAGTTAGTAGTTCCCTCGTCAGCCAGATGGCAAGTTATGCAGAAATTTCATGATCAAATTGGTCATGTAGGACTGAAACGTTGTGATGAGCTAATTAAATCTGATTATTGGTTTCCGAAAATGACACGTTTTATAAAAAAATACGTAAATTCATGCATTTCGTGTGCATATAGCAAAGGAGAATATGGAAAACCTTCTGGGGAACTACATCCTATACCAAAGCCTACTGTGCCTATGGACACGGTTCATATTGATCACTTAGGCCCTTTTAGTAAAACTAGAAAAGGTTATCAGTACATATTGGTTATTGTAGATGCATTTTCAAAATTTTTATTAGCAAGGCCAACTAGAACTATTAATTCTGTAGAGACTCTTGAGATTTTGAAGGATGTATTTAGTTTATTTGGGTACCCTAGGAGGATAGTGTCTGATAGGAATTTAGCATTTACTAGTAGAATATTTAAGCAATTTATACAGAGTCATCACATTCATCATACATTAAATGCAATAGCCTGCCCAAGGGCAAATGGACAGGTTGAGCGCTATAATCGCACCTTACTAAATGCCATGCGTACCCGTTGTATTGATCAAAATATGTGGACAGAATGTTTACCAGATGTAGTGTGGGGCATCAATAATACGTTAAATGAGTCCATAGGTTTCCATCCTTATGAATTAATGTTTAGTCATAGAAGTAGGCTGCTTCCAAATTTAGAAGGTAATTCTGAGAGTAAATCTGTTATTGAGAAGCGTAGAATAGCATCAGATCGCTTACAAAACAGGGCTGTAGCTATGAAAAGGGGATATGATAAACGTCATAAGGCAGAAAGAAAGTTCTCTAAAGGTGATTTAGTTTTGTGGAAACAATCTGCAACGGGTGGTGAGGCAAAAAGCGTAAATACAAAATTAAGGGATGTCTATTCAGGGCCATACATAGTAACAAAGGTTCTTAATAATGGCAGATATGAAATACGAAGTATCAAAGGAATGCGAGGATATAAAAAGTTTTCTGGTATAGTCCCTGCAGATTCACTACGATCTTATCGTAGCGTCCCAAGTTGTAGTGAAAGCAGTAGCGATGAGGAAATTGTTACTAGAGATGATTTAATTGACTTATTAGAGAGCTAATGCATTTTTTTTTTGCACCAATTGCGGTGCAATTGTTACAGGATGGCCGACTGTAACGAGTAAAGTGAAGTGAGGAGCGGGTGTTGGAGAGGAGGCGCTAGTGTAGCGGTGTGAAGTGTGAGGCGAGTAGAGGAGAGTAGATGGGGATTGCGTGGGGTATATAAATGTCTTGCTCGGGATTTAGATTGATTATTCTGCAGTGTTAAAGTGTTGTGAAATAATTACCAGTGTATAGATTTAAAAAGTTTATAAGTTATAATTGTAAAAAAATCTGTGATTAATAAAGTGATTTGTGAGAAACTATTTTTATTTTTCCTGACTGCTTCACAATTATCTCATTTCTAGGGTCTTAAACTATCTTCTTACCAAATTTCATCTAAATCGGCTCAGCAGATTTTTAGTTTATTCATTACAGTCAAACTTACAAAAAATCCATTTTTTTTCTCTTTATAATATTATTATTATATTATAATTTATAATGAGACGTCGATTTTTTTTCTCTTACTTAGGTACAGCATGATATGGATAAAGTTATGGGAACTCTTTTCTTATTTTTGACTCACACGGATTCTATCTACAAACAAATAGTGCTATGGATCAAAGCTGACAAGATCGAAGAGCTTTTAGATATAATGAAAGGTAAACAAACTACTGAAATGTAACAATCATAGCGCTAACGAAGGCATGAAATTGAAATGCTACGAATCGTAGCATACGATGCGTAAAATGCTACGAATTTTAGCATTTCAAGCATTAACTAATTTAAGATTTATTCTGCAATTTTGTTTGAAATTGTAATAGAACGCAAGAAATATTATAAAAAAATCCTTTGGCTACTTCATCTGGATATAATTCAAATATTTAACACGTGTACTATAAAATATATTACAAGTAAAAAATAATTATGTCCAAACAGGACCCCTTTTTAATCAAGAGGAACCAGACCACAAGACGTATTTGTTACAAGCAAGGAAAATTAGCCATCTCCTGCTACAAATTTACAATGGCATGGCAGTGTTTACTTGTTCTCTCTGGGTGCTACTTCCGTTTATACTGCATTTACAAGGAAAACCTGTGGAGTTTGCGATTTGGTTGCCTTTCGATGTCAACGCTAACTCTACGTAAATGTTACAGATGAAGATTTTTTTTAATTGTTTTTGTATTTTAAGCTATGTATATATATATATATATATATATATATATATATATATATATATATATATATATATATATATATATCCAAATTCTAGCAGGTAGGTATTTAGTGTACTTTTTCGCAATTCCCGATGTTAAATTAGAAAAATTAAGCGAATGTAATATTTGCTTCGTAAACTTGACTATGTAACAAGTAAAAAAACTAAAGACTCATAATGTAAATTATAAATTACTTAACTAAATGTCAAACAATCAAGCTAAAGCTCTAAAAGAGTAAAGTTTTAAACTTAACAAAATTAAGAAAAGTCTCTCCCGTGACCATGGATGCTGTAAAGCATTCGAAACGTCGGGAACCAAAAATTAAAATTAATACGCGAAAAAATCCGAAAAGATAGTTTTATTCAAAATTAAGAACTTAATAGCTGGCAGTAATTTTCTGTAACGCAGTGAACTTCCAAGGGTAGATTTACTTTTAAATACAATAGGTTATAAATCGATTGCTAGTTGTTACCCGCATCTTTGTTCTTAGGCCTATCGCGGCTGCTTCTTTAGCAATAATTATAATTTAATATTCAATACATACTATATAATACATTTGGGTAGTTCTACCATTTCGTGCAAATTAAAAAAAAATGCTAGATTTTTTTTAATATTATATTTTATGAATAGTTACATGGAAAATAAACGTATTAATCTAGGACAAGCTTAATTATTTCAGAAACTGGCATAGATCAATCTTTGAAATTTTTACCTACGCATGGTAATGATGATAAAGAATTAGGAATGTACAATCTCCAGAAGTCGAGGTAAAATAATTACGGTTTGAGTTGTCTGAGTTGTATACTTCCAGTGTGGCTGAAGAAAAATATTGCAAGGCGACTAGTAGCTTAGACTTTTTCAGTTAATAACGTAATAATTTTGTTTAATATACCTTTATGGTGGGTGATATTATTCTGACGATTTATTTTTACTCATTACCATGATTATCTGCTCATTACCATTTTTTACATAATGAAATAAATAATAATGATGTTTCTTGACTTTTTTGTGATTTAATTATTTACACAATTACATTAAGAAAGCCTAAACATTGCCTAACACAGCCATTAAAATCGATAATGATTATGTTAGGCATATAGATGTCAAGAAAACTAATGACATATATTGTTAAATGATACAAACAGTTATGAAAATATTTACGTACCAAGGTTCAAAATTACGTCAGTGATATTACTTACTTTTAAAGAATCATTTCTTTTCTTCAAGTTGAATCAACGGTAATGAATTATTTTTATCGATAAAACTATTTAATCACAAAGCAATAATCGCTTTTAACTATTTATTAACGCAGTTAATATATTCCATAATAACACAAATATATTAAATGTAACAAAAGAACAATTTGTAGAAGAACGTCTCATTATTTTATAATTATTTTCCACTTCATTACTTTCTACTTTTGTGACCTGCACCGTGTTGGTAATGAAATTATGCAATAATTTTTTTAACTCACTAGTTCGTCGAATATATACCTACTTAATTTTAGGTCATAAATATACCTATATAGAATATCTAAAATATTAAAAAAATGGTTACTTTGGAGGACGTAGTTTCATTTATTTTTTGTACGATATGTGATTTGCACGAAATTATAGAACTACCCATTTACGCGCGCTCAATACATCTAAATTGTAATCAATATACATAGTTTTTCTCTTTATTTAGTGAGATATTACTAAAAATTTAAAAAATATTTTTCAACTTAAATATACGAATTAAAATAATCTTGTGAGTTCTACAGATTTTATTTGGTGATAATATACGTATGGTTCACTACTTCTTGGCTCGCTCTATGCAATACTACCATAGATGTTTTGGTATCTTTTCTGTTCGGACAGTGTAAGACTCAATTGACTATACTAAGGTAAGATTAAAATTAAATACGAATAAAAAGTCTTAAACAACTTGTACATTGAATTATTTTTAACTCAGTTTGGGGTTTATAAGCGCATATCGTTGATATCATCAGTGGATATATAGACTTATTTACAATGTCAAAAATTAAAAAAAAACATAAGTACCTCCTTTTTACTATAATATCTCATACATTTCAATTAGTGAAAGACGTACAAATAAAGTTAAACAAGTCAAAATGAATCAAATGAAGTTCCAAACTCGTCGTTTTACTACGACAGTACATCCTATACATATATGTACTATAATAATTGTACATTCCTATCTATTTTCTGTTTCATTTCATAATACTGTATTTTCTTTCAGAAACAATCTCTTTTATTTAACTAAGAGAAGTGAAGAAGAACATATTATAACGGGGGAACCTTGTACAGATATAATAAGTAGACGTTTCAGAAATATGTTACAGCATCACGTGCAGATCGTACAGTAAGTGCGAGTAAAAATTTAACGCAGTAATACAAAAAATTGATAACATTCTTCACTTGAACAATTTTATATATCTACAACCAACTTTGCTTGCTTTTTTTACTATTTTAACTAAGAAGAACCCGTGGCTTCGCTCGCGCCAAAATTACAAATAAAGCTCGACAAACCCGAGCGAAGCGAGGGTGAGTAGCTAGCTATCCATAATCACAAAATATCCTATACAACTTTCAACGTTAGAATTTTCTTACTACCTGTACCTATTATAAAATATAATTAGTCTCTATATTTAACTTATTTCTAATATTTTACAGCTTTGCACAAGAAGTCGAAGATATATTTAGCACAGCAATTGCCTACCAATTTCTAGTAAGTGGATGGATCATATGTACGTCGGTATATAGAATGGTCGACGTAAGTATGCATCTGATGAATTCTTTATACTTGCTCTGGTCTTTAAGCCTCTATTCATAGATGAAACTATCTAGAATAAAAAAAGAAAAATAAGTTAAAATGCGACAAGAAACGGCGATACCTAAACTTCAAATCGTTTACTAAAACTGAAGTGAGTTGTTAATGTGTTTATGTGAGCAAAAACAGCGTGCATAGACGTTGATAGGTGAATAATAAAAAGCCTCTGCATATCTATCGCCCAATATTAATGATTATTGATTAACAAGGCTTAGTTATAGATTTATATTCATCGTTAACAATCAGCATTTATGATTTTTAAGATCAGTAAAATATGGTAAAAAAGAATCTCAATAATTTTGTCATGTCCGTCTGTCCATCAGTCTACTTATCATCCCCCCCAAACGTGCGTTCTCCTTGTAGTGGTGGGGGGGCTCAGTAGTGCCCGGCAATCCAACCGGGCGCGAAGCTAAGAAACGCACAGGGAGGTTGCCCACTTCGGTGGGCGGTGGGAGGTGGCCCTCTTCGGGGGGCGGTGTAACGTGCGGGTTGCTCTTGGTACTTCTCTGATAGCAGAGTGGACCTTGGAGCAACCCCATGGTTGTGGTGGTCTGTTTCGGCAGACCTGCCGTCGGGGCGTCGTAGTTGAATGCGTAAGCGATCCTGCGACGCCCCATTAAGACGGGGGAAGGTTTTGTTGGGTTTTAGTGGGTAGTACTGGCTGTATTACGCCGGTGAGTCCCACACGTCGTGCGTAAATGCATTTCCCAACGTTAAAAAAAAAAGTCCACTTATCACACCATTTTAGTCAATAGCTACTATATACTGCACTATATAGCTGTAATTCAGCAAAAATGAAGTCAAACTACGAGAAACAAAAAAGAAGAGAGCCCGTAGATGTAACCCGTAACGGGAAAAACATAATATCACCACAACGCTAACAACAGTGTCAAAATAAATTACTATCGTGGATTACTACTATATAGAACGATCTACAAAAATGTTTTTATTTTAAGATGAATCCAGCATCTGTGCAGTTCCTTTCCATGGTGATATACATATGTTGTATCTTAATAGAAACATTTATGTACTGCTACTATGGAAATGAAGTCACAATAGAGGTAAAATTGTGTTATTTTTATCACAAATATAGTGCTGAACTGTAACTCTATATTTCTATACTATCTGTAACTCGTTTCAGAGTGAAAATCTAGCGATATCAGCTTACTCTATGAATTGGCTAAACACTACTTTAATGCATCGACGACACTTGATTTTATTTATGGAAAGAATAAAGAAACCTATACAGCCCTTGGCGGGAGGAATTATTCCGTTATCAAACAACACATTTGTTTCGGTAAGATTATTTAAAAGATTTAAACTACTTTTAAAGTGAAAAAATTACTATTTGCTATCTATTAAAAAATAAAGTAAAGTAAAGTACTTGTTATTCAGATAATTTTGTTGAAAAAATAATAATATTATCTTGGAAATATAAATCATAGTCACTTACTTGTTTTATTATTTTCTTAAAAAATAGTGCAGATCTTTAAAATAAATACGGAAGTATAAATGTAGGTACATATATACATACACAAATATTAAGTGTAATATATGGTTATACACGTATTTATATCACATATTACTAATTTGTTTTTATATTTTGGTTACAGATTGTAAAAAGTTCCTATAGTTTCTATGCTTTACTGAAAAATACAAGTAAATAATTCTGCAAAATTTATCTTTACTTCACCTATTTTTGTTGCTATAACATCACAACCGCTTTAGCGTACCTATCAGCAGCCGATTTAAATTTTAATAAACATAATATTTATAATTCTAATGGTGTTTCATTTATTTCCAAAAGCTATAAATCGTAATATTATAAAGTTTAACCATCGACGAAATTTAAGATTAAATTAATAAGTAGGTTAGCTCTATAATTAAAATATTAAAATAAAATTCGCATTTTAATTAATATTTAGGAATTTAATTCCCGTATCTTATAATTAACTAATTTAAATTGATGAAACTCATTAACAATAAATATGACTTTGGCCACAGAAGACTGGGTTTCTTTTCCGTTTATTTTAAGCTTATCGCAATCTGTGTACATTTTGTTTATAGCATAGTAGTTTCTAAATATGCGAGATGCATCCACACCGTCATACATAATATTAACTACTCAGCACAGACTACTTTGCCAATGTCACGTAGAAGTGAAAAAATCGATAAAGATAGTTATATTTAAACAAGCTCAACTAGCACGCTTTGAAGCCATTAACAAGGAAATTGAATTGAATTTATTAAAAATATTTGCTTTTATACGGAACTAGCGACTCTCAATCGCTCGGCTCAGGATCGTTCCTTGGTACGTTTTAACGGTAAGTAATTTAGTATAGACTTCTCAGAGATGAGATATTTTCTCGCAGTGAAAAGTATCCTATGTGTTGACCCGGATAACCAGCTATCACCATACGTCGTGATGCGTCCCCAGACACGGACGGAAGGACGTACGGACTGTAAAGCTTGTTAAAATAAAACTATATTTTGTTTTTTTTTAATTAAACAAACGGACGGACATACAGAAGTAAAGTGACATCCTTGTTTTGAATGGCTTTTAAATTTATTACAATAATTTATTAAATTTATTTTGCTATACCTTTTTGTCCACGGCTACTCTCCCGTGGACTACAAAATTTGCTCAGTTTTAATTTACATTGAATTTATTTATTGTTATATAGATTTTTAATATTATGTGTTCATTTATGTAATCGTTTTAGATTCATTTAACTTAGTCTACACTAAAAAACAAACCACAAATATATCACATTGATGGATATAATAACAAAAAAGGTAGTATTATAACTAATAGCATTAACAGTTATAGTATTATAATATAATTTACCACACGGACGAATTTACTTAAAATATATTTTGGAGTAATATAAAATTATTTTAAAATCTGAATCTTGCGTTTGATAATCTTGCTTTCAAGCCGGAGTAAATTTCTGGACCACAATACAAATATTTGTGCCAATCTGTTTGAAGATAAAACGCGATGTTGTCCCGATACACAACAAGTTGTCTGAACTTCGGCAAACTACCTTGTAAATAGGAGGTGTCTATTTTGATGTATTTTTGTCTGTATGTTACGCAATAGGTGTGCGCGCTAATTGTAACAATTATTTTTTTCATAAATTGCCTATACGTTGAGGCTGATCATATTTATTTTAATTCTAATGATAAAAACATTACTTAAGTATATTACATTTACTTCTTTATCCACCTTACGGGAAATGAAAGAGAAATGATAAACCTACTAGTGTACTGTGTAGTGTTACGTCCTCTATGGTATGATGAACAGACATAAAAAACGAGTATGCTACAATAATATATGTAATACAGCTACGTATCTTATAATTATAGTTTCTCACCATAACAGTTTAATAGCAAACAAAGGTGTTTTGAATAATTTCTCGAACAAAGAAAGTACGAAAATACAAAATTGGATATGAACTCTAGAATATAAAAAGCAATTGGTATTGAAGTTTGTAAAAAATATAATATTTTTCTTTATTTTTCAAAAATTTATATGTACATAATATATTTATTAAGATTCAATTTAATAAAGATATTTTGATACATTTTATATATACCTACATATTATGAAATATAAATAAATAGTCACAGATACATCCACAGTCCATGATTTATAGTTGTATAAAATAGCCACTAAATCAACGAAACAGTCAATAATATGACAAAAAAAAGTGTAGAAACGCCTTTTTGGTAGTTGTAATCACTCCTTCGTAGCAGATTGTGTGGTAAAGCAGATTGTATGATCTTACATCCACTTACATCCAGCAAGCAAAACTATAAGGCAACGTTATATTAAAGAAATAACTATTTGCCTTTAACATAAAATTAAGGGCTGCTATTATTCTCTAACCCATCTTATATTCAAAACAACCAACGCGTAATTAAACGCTTCGAATGACAACAAAATGTTACACTATCCGTTGAAAATTAAATTAGCACTTGAGACTTGTTTTACGTAAACACTCCAGTCGGAGTCCTCAAACTGTCGAGTTGTTTGTTGAATCAACGGAATTTAATTTCCCTTAGCTATTGTCCCCAAGGTTATATTAGCCTTATAAAAGTTTTGGTATTCAGGAAACTTGTTTTTACAATGGAAGATAAATTATCATATAGATGTGTTGAAGAGCATTTACTGCGTTTGCGGATTGCGGGTTATTACCAAATTGATCCACAATCGCCAAGATTGCAAAGACGACTTCATGATATTTATATTATATGAATTGGCTAAACACTACTTTAATGCATCGACGGCACTTGATTTTATTTATGGAAAGAATAAAGAAACCTATACAGCCCTTGGCGGGAGGAATTATTCCGTTATCAAACTACACATATATTTCGGTAAGATTATTTAAAAGTAGATATTAAGTGCAATAATTGCTATTTGCTATTAGACCGGAGCAAAAAAAGAATAGTAGTGCAAGTACAGTACAGTAAAAATAAGTTAAATGTAGCTACATAGTACATACATACACAAATATTAAGTGTAACGTATTTATATCACATATTATTAATTTGTTTTTATGTTTTCGTTACAGATTGTAAAAAGTTCCTATACTTTCTATGCTTTACTGAAAAATACAAGTAAATAATTCTGCAAAATTTATCTTTTCACCAATTTTTGTTGCTATAATAAAACAACCGCTTTAGTGTGTCTATCAGCAGCCGATTTAAATTTTAATAAACATAATATTTGTAATTCTAATGGTATTTTATTTATTTCTAAAAACTATAAATCGTGATAATCTATAGTTTTGCCCTTGATGGTATATATCAAGTCCAAGGACCTCTCATGTTAAGATTAAATTAATAAGTAGGTTAGGTCTATAATTAAAATATTAAATATAAAATTTGTATCGTAATTAATATTTAAGAATTCAATTCCAGTATCTTATAATTAAATTTTTTTAATGAAACTCATTAATTAAACTAAAAACTTTGTCCAAGGATAACTCGTTTTCTTTTCCGTGTATTTTAGCTAATCGTAATCTGTATACATTTTGTTTATAACATAATAGTTATAAGTTAGTTATTGCTTTAGCTCACAATTTTTCGTCTTTTGGGAACAAATGATAAACATTAACAATTTTCTTTGCATCTTGGCACTGAAAAATTTGTCATTGTATTAAATTTAGAGCTTTACGTATGCGGAGGATCGCGACATCTGGCGGGAGAAAATGGCAAAATGCTTCCCCATTAAGATGATTAATATAATAATATTTAATATGTTAATATGAATCTCGAATATCGATATTTGTTGTCACATTTATATTATCTGTAGCAAAGAACACTTTAACTTATCTGTACTCTGTAGCATAGCTGTCAAATGCAATAAAAATTAAAAAATAAGAATGTCTTACTAATAAATGTCTACTTAGTACTGAACTGACTACTGTAACTGGAGTCTGGAGTAGGAAGTAAGGAACTGAGGAGTCTGGAAATAATGCTATACTGGTCAGAGGGTGTTTTAGTGCGAATACCGTTATCAGTCTCTAATTTAATATAAAACCTGTTTTCTGTAGTTAACATTTCATAAATTATTGAAGTCTCTAATCATGCTTCGATATATTTTAACGTTAGTGTTAGTGAATACGTATCACCCTAGTTATGGTTATCCTATAAGGGACAATGTAACCCATACTTTTATAGGAAACAAGTTGCAAACGCTTGCACAGTATTGTGAAAATGCAGTGCTTTCGGAGCTGATTAAGAGCCAAGTCCAACGTTGCAATGTGAATTCGTCTATTGATAAATACTTAGCACCTAAGTGCTTGATGTTCTTTGATATTAATCAACAATTGTGTAAACAATTCGCGAAATCCAAATATGACTTACAAAGCGAATATACAGCTAAGATGAACGAAATACAAAATGTTCAAACACTTTGCGAACATGCTCGATCATGGAAACCCAAATTCTTACAAGAATATTCAGATATTAACCTCGAGGCGGTATTTAAAAACAGTGTGTTGTGCCTAAAATTGTGTGCCGATGATGTAAATTACTTAAGTGTAGATTCTAATTTCTTTTGTAAATATTATATGTGGGGTACAGATACTATCAAAAATCCTTCAACTAAAATGACACATAGTGATAGTGATGCTGTTAGCAAATTATCTAAAGCAGTCGAAAATCCAAATAATTTGGGTATTTCTGAAATTACGCAATCTATTGCCAAAACTGATAATACCACAACTATTACAAGTGAAAATGAAGCTAAACAGCCACAGGTGAAGCCCTCTGAATTAAAAACCTCTAAGCCTAATGTAACAAATACAGATGGAACAACTGCTATAAATCAAGCATCAACCCAAAACACTGCTCAAAAAGTGGCTGATATAGAGAACAGTCTTAAAACTGAGCAATCTGTTGCTTCAATGGCACCAACTTCAGTAAAAAATGACATAGAAAAACCACCTGTTGCATCTGAACAAAAAGATGTCCTAAAGAGTGTTGAATTAGAAGACAAAGATGTTGGTATTGATAACTCTAATGATGCTGTTAATGATGATGACCAAGATGATGAAGAAGATGATGGTAATTCATTTTACTCATTAATGTTAATTTATTACCTACAATTTATTGCACTTAAAAAAAATCATACTTAAAATTTAAAATAACCAAGACACTAATTATAGATGCATTTTCTTCATGTATTGTGTACCTATTGGATCAGTTAATGATTTCCAAAAAGGTTGACATTGTCAATTGTGAAAAGATCACAATCATAAAGGTGTATGTAATATAAATAAAGTATAATAAATTTGTAATAGGCATTAAAACATGTTACTTCTTTCTGTAGATGAAAGATAAATTGTGAACAGGATATTTCTATGATTAGATTAAGATATTAAATTAAAATTATTATAATAACTATAATATCAGCAATTATAACTTCTAACTTAAATAGAATGTCACTTCAAGTATATATACATATGTGAGTGTAAAAGACTAGGGTGTTTAACAGTATATCTTTATCCCAGAAACTTTTCCAAAAATATAATGTGGTTTTAAATTTTTTTTCTTATATTACTTAAGAGTTTTAAAATATAAAATATTCTATATTTTACTTGTTTTTGTCTTTCTTAAAAAAAATTATGTGTACACTTATATTGTTATTTTTGTTTACATCCACAATAATTATAAATGTAACTTAATGTCAGTCTTCATGCAAAGTATAGAACAGTTTATATGTAATAGTACAGATGTATGATGTTACTTCTTTTACAGAACATCAATATGACCAAGATGGCACTGGCCCCAAACCATTATTACCTGATGTTAATGTTGACACTAAGAATGCTAATGGCAGTAAGTAGCATTTTTTTATTTCAATAAAAAAAGATAAATGAGAAGCATAAAAACTCCTTGAAATCATATTTCAAGAAAAATGTATCTCATAATGCGGTCTACTCCGGGAAGTGATGAGACACAACAATTTCAATTTCTGGCACCTAAGCTTTAATTGACTGTGAAAATGCTATTTTATTATTATTTATGGTTTTTATATTATTTATGCTTCACTCTTAAGAGTTTTCATATAAAATGAGCACAGCCTTGTTGCTATTTAAAAATGGTATACAAAGAGGTGCCAGGCTTTATACACAAGGGCCCATGAATGTTTTGATAAAGAGCTTTTTAATGTACAATTTTGTTTTATTGTATATTTACTTTCGTTCAATGTTGTCATTCTATAGTGTACATTCCTATCTAGGTCATGTTTATTGATTTTTTAAATTTTATATCATTAATAAAAATAATTATCTTTAAAAAAATTACAATTAGAAATAGTCTGATTGATTCATTTGATATTGACGCATTTATAAAGATACTAAATTTACGTAATAATGCTTTCAGATAATGATTTGCCTCTGTCTGGCCAAGATATCGATAGCAATGTGCCACTAGCGAATGGGTATGATGAAAAAATGAAACAAAAAAGAGTTGAAATAGAATCTAACACATCACTCAATGTTAATAGTGGTCCACAAATAGGTATTTAAAACATATTGAATATCAAATTAAAGTGTCATTTATTTAAACAGTATTTTACGAGTACTTTTTAAAATTTTAATTGACTCTTTTCTTTAAGTATATGCCGGATCTTTTGGAGTATGTCCTAGTTTTATCTTGATTTTTATATCTTTTTCTTAATCTACTTACAATTTAGAACTGAAATCTTTTTACTAATAAGTAATTTTATTTCAGAATTTTATTATTTTTTAATCATTTTATATTTATCATATTCAGAATAGCCATATTACGTCAACATAGGGCATATATTATAAATTAAAAATAAAATTTATATAAATAACAACTAAATAACAACGACCATGATGCTTTATTTAAAACAAAAATCATATTTTTCATGTTTTATCTGTCTGACAGACAACTAAAAAATAATAGTTAGTAACATGTTACTACATACAATATGTATTGTAATCCTAGCAAAATAGAGGATATTTGTTTGCAAATAAAATCCAATAAAGAAAAACTTCACTGATATCAATCATTTTAAATACCATTAATGATTAATGATATTAATAAAATGATAACATTTTTTTCTGTGAAGTCATTTTCAGAGATTTGTTCATATCTGAAGTACTAGGTAATTAGATTTATAGATTACGGTATAAGCCCTAATAACTATAACAAAAAAGGCATATGTATATTCTTGTATATGTATGTATACACATCTCATCTCTCTACTCATCTATAAAGAATTTATGACTTGAACAACTGACCTAGACAAAAATGTTACTCACACCCGCAGAGGAAAACATTGTAACATATATACTATAGCAATTTTGAATTAACACTTAATATTTGTAAAATCTATACATCTTAATATTATAAAGAGGCAGAGTTTGTTTGATTGAACGCGCTAATCGCAGGAACTACTTAATCCGGTTTGTAAAATTCTTTTTGCATTAGATATCCTGTTTATTTGGAAAGGATATGGGCTGATATATATCATCATGCTACTACGCAGTAATCATAAATGTCAACAAATCGAGACTTCCATACATTATTGTAAAACTGATGTTTCTAATCAAACAAATTTAACACTGGTAAGACCGCGGGGCACAGCTAGTTTATTTATATTGTGAAATATACAGTTACAATATTGTTCTTTGCATGTGTCGATAATGGCTATTTTTTTATCGTCGTAACGCGCATGCGGAACTGTGGCCTAAAGCTAGTTTAAGATAAGATTTTTTGCTACAATATTTTACACTTTCTTTGTTGTTGTCGTTGTGATTTGTCTGATTATATCTATCCAGCAATTATCGCTATATTTAATCAGGTGTAACCTTGACGCTAGATAAATACACGATGTTTAAAAAGTAAATACGTCACTTATTTGGATATCTCATAAATTTACCAATATGTATGACGTAAATTAATCGTTTTTAGGTTTAATTTTAATATAAGGTATATATCCTCAAACTTAAAAAAGATATGACAAGCCCATATTATAACGACATTAATCTTTTAGTTTCAGATATCTTTCCCAATTCAATGGAAGATTCCTTCAATGAAGACGATGACCACTTCTTTCCATTTTTCCTAGCTGCAATCATCATTGTGGTCCTGCTTTATATTCTCTATCACAATAAAAATAAAGTCACAAAAGTGGTAAGTATGTTTTTTTAATTTTTATTTATATTATATTAATATTTACAAGTGTGGTACGTCGATTAAAAGAGCCTAAAAAAAGTTAGAATATAAGCTATATTTCTACCGAATTACATTGAAGTAATAAAACAAACATGCACATGTTTCTTAGTTAATTTTATGTAATAATAAATAATAATAGGTTTATAAAATAACTGGACAAACTTATAAATCCATAGTATACTTATGGTACTCTTATGTGCAGTCATCGGAGTACTATTATAAATGCGAATATATTTTTATACTACTTACTACTAATACTTGTACTATTATTTTTTTTTTAAACAGAACCCTAATACTTTTTCTAAAATAAAAGTAGCCTAAGTTACTCTTTACAACATCAACTAATACAACCGTTTCAGAGATTAGCCATTATAACAAACGGACAGATAGACAATTAAAAATTGTGTTTTTCTTATAAGCACCGTACATAATTTCATATGCATTTAGCAAAAGCTTTGCTTTGTTTTTTTGACATTACAAACAGACACTTCAATTTTATTTATCTGTATAGATTTTGATTATTTCTTAATCCTCCACATTGAAACGGCTGGACGGATTTGTATGAGTATACTGAATGACTTAGACTTAGAGTAATACATGGTTCATGTTAGGCACACAGGGATGAGACGAGCAAAGCTAGGGTACGAGGGTTAAACCATAATTGTTTAAAGGAAAGTAACAAGTAACGGTAATTGTCGCATTTATATTGTTATAAAATAAACTTTAGTAATGATTTAATGTAAATAATGTATGGGAAATATATCAGGATGTCCATTTTTGCTTGAAAATTTACCAGACTGAGGAACGTTTGACCTAACTAGACAATGGTCTGAAGTCCATGTCCAGCAGTAGGACGTTAAAATAATCTGAACAAATACAAAAAGTTGTATGATGGTCCTACAATCACTACATATTATAAACAAAGTCGCTTACCGCTGTCTGTCTGTCCCTATGTATGCTTAGATCTTTAAAACTACGCAATGGATATTGATGCGGTTTTTTTAATAGATAGAGTGATTCAAGAGGAAGGTTTATATATATAATACATGCATAATATAGTAGAGCAACACTGATAATTTTAGAGGTTTCTAATGTGATATCGTAAATAAACACATTTTTTTACGCTTACATTGCAAACGCTGGCTGAACCCTACGAGAGAGATCAAAATAATGTACTACAGTATAGTACACCTTAAAAAGGTCTACAAGAAAGTCCGCGATGGCATATGTCTATCTGTTAAGGATAACATACTATATCCATTATAATACCTAGGGACTAACCCGAGCGAAGCGAGGGTGAGTCGCTAGTTTTATTATATCCTGCAAGAGAAATGCCTTGAAGTGCTACGATCCGATAAAAAATATATATAGTATGTAATATTCCAATTCGCTATATAGATAAACCAAATCATAACATTTTATTGTTCAAACACGTTTTACTAATTATTTATTACTCTTTTTAGACTATTATTTGTTTTGAAAATGCGGAGGTACTCAATTAGGTAGTTCGGTTATGTATTCAGCCCTTGTTAATGTCTCACTGGTTGACGGACTTCACATGTCTTTCGAAAACTTGCTAGACTCTCTCAGACACGCAGGTTTCCTCACGGAGTTTTCTTTCACCGGAAGATAAGTAATCATGTTGAAAATGATTCGCACATGTAAATATCAGAGTTGCGAGACCCAGGATTCGAACACGCTTCACTAGATTTCCCAAGCGAACGCGTTATCACTCGGCTAACACTGCCCTTATTTAAGAATAAGTTCCTTCAAGGGAGTAAAAATTCTATCCCAGATTAATAATTCTAACGATGAAGGTGGAATGTTTTAAAACTTTTTATTAATTCTTTTACACGTTTTTATCAGCTTCACTTGTAACTAACAAAATAAATGTTGGAAGTCAATTTTAACTTCTAATGGTCGTACCGAAAAGAACATTTGTATGTAAGAGTAGTTCGGACGATTATACTATAATTTGATATCGTGGAACTAATCTGATGATGGATTGAGGAGGAGAATAGTGGAAGTACTAGTAAACTCCTCGAGCTTGGGCTCATATGATTCGTTTTGACAAGGCCCATTTCAATTTGTCGGAGCGTGTCTTTTAGTTTATATTGCTCTGTGGTTTAAAAAAGGATAGATATTATTAACTGCCTCGTTTGTGGCAAGCCTATACGATCGCAGTATAGATATTGGGTTTTTATGTCAAGGAATTCCCAGTAACATCCCAGAATTGGGAAGTTGGGGGTGTTTCATCCCCGTGCCTTGAAGAGCACGTAATGTAGTCGGTTCTTCGCTTGATCTCACGCCGTAAATTTCGAATTGTCTTCCACCGGAGTTTTGAGAGTGAACAGGATAGATATTAGATAGTAGATTTTTGTTAGCGCACATACTTGTGCACTAGAATATCCACCAAGTCTCATTCAGATTGAATGCCGTAGCTGAAAACTTTTAGGACGTCGTTGTTTATTATTATTAGTAATGTATTTTATAAAGCGAATATGTCTTAGAATACTGTATATATTTTAAAACGATTACAGATTCTAGGGCTGATAGTGGAAGGAAGACAACCAGGGAAGCGTAGGAACAGTCGAGGTCACGCCTATCGTCGCTTGGACACGTTGGAGCAAGCCATGAATACCAACACAGCAGCACCGCCAAGTAAAATTATATATTAATTTATATCTCATGTATTAAATACAGCTCACTCGTAGACTGAGAGGCGAACGCAATTACATCGATTCTTCCGGAAAATCCAATATTACTTTTAAGTGTATTATGTCATTTTTAGGAAGCTGTAGGCGATTTGTAGTTAAGCATTGGTTAAACAAGAAATTCTTTAAAGATAAAAAACTATTCTACTCCGATGAGAGTAAAATTAAAGTCATTTTGATTCTTTATATCTTAAATATAGAGTGCCAGACCAACTAGATGATGCAAGCATGTATGTATATGTTATAGCCCAAAATCATTCCAGTTAAAAGTACTTTTGACTGTTTTTGTCAGTAAAACGAGTTTTGACTGTAACAATACAAGGCATATTTTCATAAAATTGTCATGCTTTCACAAAACCGTAGTTTACAGGAAATATTAATTACTATTTTAACTAATGTTTAACTACATGTATCGGATTTTCAAGCTTCTTCGTATGTCAGTCTGATAGCCTGGTAGCTCTTATATTGTAATGCAATGTATACTTTATTTACTAAGTAATATGTCCATATGTTATTTATCATTTCAATTAACAAATTATTTCGAACGGTCGTCTCTCGCAGTATTTCTGAAGAATAAAATAACATTATATTCAATTTTCGACTAAACATGAGTTTCTATTGAAAGATGTTGGTGGTGGAGGTGGAATTGTTTACTGGCCGGATTTATGGTGAAATCATAGCATATTATATTATATTAAAATAATTCTCACATTTACTGTAACAATGTTTTTAATACATTAAATTCTACTGTAGTTGAGATAAATAGTGATTTTATCTTACAAGTTGATATTTCTCGCAATAATATGTATGTATTATCCATTTTACTGAAATATTATTTCATTATATATACATATTATTATTATTATTATTAAATATCTGGGATTATTATACGAAATGTATGTAAAATATAATAAAAATTAACTATGGCAAGTACAATAAATACATTAAATTATAAACAATATCTCATATGTGATTGAATTTAAATCATTTTGAGAAGTTAATTAAGTTCAATTCAGTTTACTTTAAATATTATTATTATTATTAAGACGCTATAATATTTACGCTTATACTTAAAATAATAAGGTTCCTTCATTTCAATTCCAATATTTGGAAAGGTGTTTCTTTTAGATCTCAAGATTCTTTATAATTGACATCTCAAAAAGAACATTGTATTTATTGTTTAGCTAATAGCTTTGGATTTTCAGGGGTGATTTAAAAACACACGAGTTAAAAGTTTCGAAACTTATAGAATGTGCTCGTATATGATTCTATTGGAACTTTCTAAATCAATTATCTTTTATATGGTAGCCATTTTGTTGTTCCTCAAATTAGGGTCTTTTTTTAATAAAATGAGCCTTTACATATTATATTTATATGTATTATTAAACAAAACTTGGCAACTTGTAGCTCGACTTAATATAATTTGATTGTAGAATATTCAGTATTGGTGTCATTTCTTGTTATTCTTTAAAAAATTAAGTTGGCCTTAGAACTTAACAAAAGGCAACACATTTTGTATTCATGCAGTTATATGTAAGTATATATAAGTAAATTTTTATTTACATATTCTTTACATACAAGTTTAACATTATGTAGGCAATAATACTGAAAGTTGCTTTCATAATAATGAAATATAGTATGTTCATTAAACACTTTAGACCATTTCTACATATATCTACATAAGCACTGATATTCTTTTTCTCTTTGGCCTGATTATTTGTACCCCTTATATTAATTAGGTAGGTGAAATTTCTAAGCTATAGCTTCAAAACATTATTAGTTTTTAATTTGTACTTTTATTCTGAATAAAATTTTAAAGTTACTGGATTTGTTTAATTTTCCTAGTATTTTTATTAGTTTTTTTAAATTTATTATATTATGTTGAATTGTGTAAAATAGTGCTGTACATCAGTGGCGAAGGGTGAAATTTTAGCAGAGGTAAGCCGTTCCATAAACATACAATTTTTATACACGTATTAATGCAGAAAGAAATAAAGCTATTATTAGGTATATATACAAATACAAAAGAACATTTATACATTTAAAAAATTATATGTATGTAAAATTATAGCAAAATAATTTTAAGGTAAGACGTCTTCTATGGACCCTTCGCCACTGATGTACATTTAAATTTCACTAAACACCCAGTATTTAAGGTCATTGGTTATTTGACAACTTTTTTCTAAATAACTCTGGACCATTGCAAGCACCATTTTAAACTTCATTAAAAAAGATTTCAAATGTCCATAGCCTTTATTTTGATTTATCTTAAGACTAACAATCCGAGCAAAAATATTTGGTGTTTCTTTTTATAGAAACACATTTTAATAGGTAGGTAGGTATATTTTAAAAGATGCTGTATAAAAAACTGGTAAAATAGAACAAGTGTGGAATTTTCTGCAAATGTAATGCAGAAAAATAAAAAAGTATGAAGCATTTAATATATCTCGCATGGGACTTTTGGGTGCCAACTGTTTGGTTGATGCAGGCAATCCAGCCGGGCGCGAATCCAAGAAACGCACTGGGATGCGGGCCCACCTTAGTGGGCGGTGCGCCATGTGGGTCGTTCCAGCTTTTTTTTATATACTAGCACACCTCCGATATGGGAGTCGGAGTCCTTTTTTTACATTTTACGTTTTTACAACGTCAACAGTTATTAGAAGGGGCGCCGAGCGGAACTCTTATACTTAATTTCTAACAACATCCATTTTATGTATTCTAACATAATATTATTACAGTTTTATTTGTACATGGTTCTTATTAATTCTTATATATTCTTATTTGCTACATATTTACAGTTTATACTGTTATTCGTATTAACATTTTGCTCTTATTACTAATTATATTTATACAATATCATAATAACATAGTTATATTGGATTTACAATTTCCTTACTTTTATTTATGATTATATGATTTATAGCGCCTTTTTTTCAATTTTTTATTTATTTATGCTTTTGTGCTAAGTCTTTTCTTTGCTGATTTTGTTACAAAGGAATATCAGGGCTCCAGATATTTGTCTGATAGTAGAGTAGACCGATGGAGCAATCCCATGATTGTTATGGTCTGCCTTGGCAGGCCAGCAGTCAGAGTGTCGTGGGTAAGCACGTAAGCGGTCCTATAACGTCGCATTAAGGCAGGGGAGGTTCTGTTGGGTATAATGGGTTTTCTAGCCGGTGAACCCCACATAACCACCTGTATGTACGCAGGTAGTATGTGTAAATGTATTTATTTCCTAACTTTAAAAAAAGAAGTTCACTAAGATCCCGGAACTCCTGGATAAATGTGGTTTTATTCTTAAATCCATAAGTTGGAATCTGAAAGTTGAAACAATTGGGGAATGGAATACCAAATTAGATACGGACTCTTATCTTATCTCGGACTGTTATTTTAATATTTATGACATTTCTAATATCTTAATTAATGTCGATTTGGCCATATAAAAAAATATTCCGATGTTCAAAATGCACACAACCTCATCAAGGCGATTCATGCAATTTGCCTAAAGAGACTGCTTTTTTATACACTTTTCTGATAATAACTTTACAAACTATAAAAGCTATTCTGAACATGCAATGATTAAAGAGGTGTCATCTCTCAAAAAAAAATCCTTTGCTACCTAGTACCTACTCATCTCCTTTAGGTTCGAAGGCCATGTGCTGAAATTGCAGAAGAAATGATTTCTTTATTGTGTCCTTTTATATAATCTATAAATCTTCCTCATCTATTAAACGATCCTATAAAAAAGTAAACGTCCCCGGACTTAAAATGAGGGGTACGATAGAGACGCTTAACTATAATTTACTCAAACCTTATTGATCGTCGTTAGGAGATAAAATAATATTTGTGATGATGTCTCGAATCATACATTTTGGTTATAATATAGCGTACTGACAAAAACGTCTTTAATAAATAAATCATATATTATGTACACATAAAAGTACTAGTCTTAAGCAAAGTATATAGTGATTTTATTATAATAAACAATTTTCTGAATTCTTATGAAGCGACATCTATTATCGTCTCTATACACTACCTACGTCAACTTTAATAAAGTATTTGAAGTGGTATAAAGTTAAATCTGTCTGTAGATAGAGGGTGCTGCAACGGTCCTACCAGTAGGTATATAAGTGTATAATCTATGGGTCCTACGATTTACCTAGACTGCCTAGCGACCTACCGCTTGGGTTCGTCCCTAGTTACGTTTTATGGTTATTTTTTGTGTTTTAAACATCAAAATCCCTCCCACTGGTTTTTCCGTGATGCGGGCACAGACAAACAGACAGACAAAAATTCTAAAAAACTATAGATTTGGCCTCTGACCTCTGTGTCGATATTGATGTCAATTTCAATAAGATTTAAAAAAAAATGTACAGATTCGACTCAGAATTTTATTATATGTATTACCTATAGTAAAAATTAAACAAAAATTATTATCACATGTTTATGATTAAGGAGAAAACTAGTAGAATGTATACAATCGCGGTAGGGAGCAATAATACGATTCAATTTTTAACGATTATTTGTAGTGAGTAATTAACAAAAAACAGCTATTTTATGAAATCTTCAAACTTTAAAAATAAAGCTGTAATTTGTAACGTCTACTCGGGGACCCACCTCTTTAGATGGGTCATAAACGGGCGCGGAAATGACGTCATTAAAGACGTCTTCGTAGCAACCACAACTGCCTGCAACATTCGTCATAGGAATGGCTGAAGGAATATTTCTAGCGTAGTAAGCGTGAAAAGCACGCACTATAGAAATTAATTTATGAACTGCCACATTACAAAGGCCTTGACGCAATTTTTATACTTATGTTGATATTTTAATAAGTAAACACGTATGAATTTCGATTTCAAAGACTGAGTAATATTTGGAGTAACAATAACAAGAAATAAATTTAAAATGATGTATTAACATTGTATTTACCTATATCCAACTGAGCAAATTTCAAGTTTGTCATAAAACAATATTTTTATTTTAAAATATCAATTTAGGTAGTAGAGATTCAAAGAATAATTATAGGTAATTTATAGGTGCGATAAAACCATATTCTGTGTAAGTTTGTCATTAACTGAGTGATAATAATCGATTTTGATAGCACATACCTAATATAATATGCCCGTTTTGGTATAGGGTTTCAAGGTTTTAGGAAATTTCATTGTATTATAACACTGTAAGTACATAATATAATATATATTATATTATGTACTTACATTTATACACTGTACATAATATAATATATACCATATGCAGCTCTAAAATATATGTATTAGGTACTAACAAAAGTAGGTAAGTATAATATGCATCGAAGTTCATGAATAAGGTCCACATCATATGGAGATTTGGTAACAAAATATTGTGCATCTGCTATTTCTTGGGAAATTGCTTTTAAAGATTAATCACTTTAAAGATTAGTCATTTGTCACACCGGATTATATCAAAATCTGATGATAGAAAATCTATTACATAGCTCGTGGAAAGCTACGTACCTACTACTTTTCTGAAACAAAAAGTTGCATGATTCAGTTGTGAGAGGTCACAAATAGATAGACGGATATGTTCATTTGAAATAAAGATGTAAGTATTATACATTATAATATTACGATAAAGATATGTCGTCCCACCAGAGTATGAGAGTGACAGGAATAGAGAGTGCACTTGTGTCT